GGGGGAGGTTGATGGTAGTCCTGGTGCTGCTGGTGCTGGTAGTAAGCTGCTGCTGTTGTTGTTGCTGCTGCTGCTGCTGCTGCAGGGAGAGAGTAATGAGTGCCGCGGTGGAAGGAAGCGTGGAAGGGGGTGGGTTGGCGGTGTGTATATATATATATTCTCTTTTTCTTTCGTTGACTCTCTCCTTTCAGCCCTCTGTCTCATTTCTACAGAAGAAAAAACGCGTTCACTTTCTCACTCACTCACTCACTCACTCATCCACTCACTCACCCAGCCAGTCACCTACTTATGTCTTTTTCCATCTTTTTAAGGGGAGGGGGGTGAGGGGGGTGAAATGAAGTGAATAGAGATTTCAAGAATGGAGAGGATAGGGTTTGGATTTGGATTTGGATTTGGGTCAGGAACAACGTCGCCTATTGTCTGTTGTCTGTATTGATGAATGAGTAATGATTAATAATATCTGATATTTTATTTATATAGCAAAGAAAATCCCGATAAAAGTATCGATAGCATACTACCTTAATTTACGAGACCGTTCATCCTTCATTATCATATCCTCATATCCATACCTGGTTCATTACAAATACCTACCTGCCTACCCACCTAACCATCTGCCGACCCTAAACGTGTTGAGACAATAGCAGAATTAGAAATCCGGGTACATATAATCAAAACATTCCCCTCGGCTGTGTCGCAGTATCATGACCACTCCCACTCGCATTCGCAACTCCCGTATCATGCTTTTCGTGGCCATTCCCTCCTGCTCCGACGAGGGGGAACTCACGGCCCGTGCTTCCGACTGCACCGGAAGAGCCTGTCACTCCCGAATGGCCCTGGGAGCTAGCGAGGCCGGATTGCTGATGGCCGGACTGTTGATGACCGGTAGAAGATCCTGCAAACGCCGACGTGCCGTGAGCACCCGTGAGCCCCGATTGTTGATGACTGATCGAGTATTTGCTGGGATCATGATCATGGAGAAGGCCCCCATGGTCGGCCCCAGTTGTACCATCCCCAAAGCCCGGCTCGCCCGCAAATCCAGAAGAGCCTGCGACGCCACGGTTGCGATCGGCGCCATGGAGATGGTCACCGAGGTCCTTGCCGATCGGCTTGTCAGGTAGAGGAGTCTTGTTCGTCGACGTAGTAGCGTAGGGATCCTCCGAAGCAGCTGGCTTGCCCTGTTCGTGATGGAGTTCGTACAGTGCACCTGTACCCGCTGCACCCGCGGCACCACCGGCAGCGACGTTGCGGCCCGCGTGGGATTGTTGAGAGGCGTTGTGTTCACGCTCTTGGCGATCAAAGTCATCTTCCTCTTCTTTTGTGTACTTCTTGCTTTTGTCACGGTCTATTTTCATTAGCACATTTGCTCGAATCTCACGGTAGTTGGTATTCACTTACGCAAGAATGATAGGAAACCAGCCTTCTTTTTCTTCTCAGCATCCTTCTCGGCCTCCTCCGCCTCCTTCTCAGCCTTGTCATAGTCTTTCTCGGCCTGCTTCTCAGCAGCCTTGTGGTCCTTTGCAGCTTGCTTCTCGGCATGCTTGTAATCTTTCTCAGCCTGCTTGAAGGCTTTGTGCTCCTTCTCAGCTTCTTTCTGAGCCTTCTTGAGATCTATCTCATGGCTGTGCCTGTCGGCTTCGTAAGCGCCTGCCCCGGCTCCGGCCGCGCCCCCAGCTACCGCAGCATCTCTGCCGTAATGATGATCCTTGGAATGATCGGTCGTTACCTCATTAGCTGAAGTGTGAGTGGTAAGGCCTGATTGGTCTGTCGAGGTTGTTGAGTGAGGAACCCCAGACTCAGCCCAGGTGCTTTGTTGATCGAGTTGCGTTGCAGCTGGATCCCTTGCTCCCCTCGAGCCATGCTGCTGAGTAGCCGCATAAGCAGCCGTACCGACTCCGCCAGCAACAGCAGCATCCCGACCATAGTGTTGTCCACTGGAGGTAGAAGTCTGCTCGTTACCTTTGGCAGCAGCATTCAGTGGTGTCACTCGAGGATCCAGAACGTTCTGGTAATCTTTCGAGTGGGGGCCAGCTGTGTGGGGTGCTGGGCCAGTAGAGGTAGCGCTCTGGTGAGAGACACCGGCTCCAGTATTCGAAGCACCGAGCCCGGATGAGACAGCGGATTTGGGAACGCCCGTTCGGGCAGTTGACGAGCCGAGTCCCGAAGTGTTGGTTACATTGCCATGATCTCCCTCACTGCGTAATTATCAATATCTATATCGGAGCTAATGAAGAGAACGACAACATACCGAGTTTCCTGTAGCGCTTTAGCACTGCCGGTGAGGCCTTCAGAAGCACGGTGGTGAGAATCTGCTTGCTCAGCACCACCTCCATGATTTGGCGAGTGCTTGATAGCATCTTCGTGGCCACTCAGACCACTCGGGTTGACGCGTGGATCAAGCAGGTTGGCTGCGTTTGTGGTATGTGGCTATGAGAATGTTAGCATCGCCCCAAGCTCTCTTCGAAAAGAACACTCACCCCATGGGTAGATGATTGTGGAATGGATCCTTGGCCGAGTCCAGTCGGGCCAGCATGAGAATCATGGTGATGAACACCAGCGCCCACTGCACCAGCTGTTCCAAGGGCGGCAGTATCGCGGGTCACATGATTTGGGCCAGTAATGCTTGGTTCCTGCCTGGAGCCATATCCAGTTCCTGAAGAGACTCCATGAGGATTGGTGGACTCGTGCGTGCGGATCGGCAGAGTGGAAGACGTTGTGTTTGAAGTTCCTGTGCCTGAACCAAGGCCGGAGCTTTGCCCCAGTCCTGGAGCTGCCGTCGAGGAGCCATGCCCTCCGGCCATCTCACGCTCCCGGTGGCTCGCAACACCAGAAATAAGAGCCCCTGCTCCTCCACCAGCTCCTCCCATTAAGGCAGCATCCCGTACCAGGTGACTACCTGAAGTTTGGCTTGAGCCTGTTACGCTGGGTCCTGGAATTCGGGTAGTATTAGCCTCAAGGATCCATTCACCTGGAACGTGCATGGCTGGAGTCATCGTACCAGTTTGTGTGCTTGTAGTCGTCGCTGCTGAACCAGCATCGCTTCCTGTCAAGCCCGAGAGTGCGGATTGACCGATCGACCCATGTCCAGCTTGTGTTGTATTTGTGTTTGCGGACGAAGAAGTCGTGTCTGGGCCAGTCAAGCCCAATGAAGCCGATTGTCCAATCGATCCACTGCCAATCTGCGCATTGCCTAAGTTATTGTTCTGTGTTTGGGACTCGGTTGGGTACGATTGAGATTGGGAAGCGAGGTGGGAGGTCGGGATCGCGCTTGTGCCAGACGTTTGCTGGCTGCTTCCAAGACCGGCTGCTGCAATCGCGGCGCTCTTCGCATCCGGGTGTGGTTGACTTCCAGCGGTGGACAGAGGAGTGTTCCCATGCCCGGCGGTATGATTTCCCCCAATTCCGGTTGTTTGAGTTTCGCTTGTGTTGTCGAAGTGACTTCCCGCGCCTGTCACGCCTCCATGAGTACTCGACGGTTGACCCGTCTCGTCCTTGGCCTCCTTCTCTTTCTCTTTGGAACTGCCTAACCTAAAGCAATAGTCAGATACGATAGATGTGTGCATGTGTGTATGTGTGTATGTGTGTATGTGTGTGTGTATGTATATGTATAACGGATGGGTCTGGGAACCTACAGAAGGCTCTTGATTTTCTCCATGTTTGTTGGTTGGGACGGGTATCACAGTTTGGAAGTTTGGAAGTTTGGAGCTCTGTCAGCTCTTGGGTCTCGTAGAAAACAGTGTGCAATATTCTTATCAGAAACGGTAGCCGAAGAGCGAGAGGGAGTTGGGGGGTAGTGTCTATATATATATATATATCCTGTATAAGCTATATATCCTGTATATACTAGCTCAACAAAGGGGAAGGAGGGGTAGCTGGGAACTCGCAGCTAGTAGCACCGATGATGCAAGTCTGTGGCGTACGTAAGCTCGACCCGACGCGACGCGACTCGACTGGCGACCTTTTCAAGAATCATCATCAAGCCACCAGACAAAGGCTGCCGGTGTCACCCAATGAAGCGGTCGTTTGGAGGTGGCAGTGCATCATTGCCCTGTTTTTGAGCTGTTGCTGTTGCTGTTGCTGTTGCCTCTGGGTCTCACCAGCCACATGCGGCTGCAGATCTGCAAATCATGACGCGGGGGAAGGAAGGGAGGCCGGATTGATAGTTCCTGGCTGAAGAGAAAATGAAGATCTGAATCTGAAAGACGCGGGGAAGAGGATCAGCAGGCCTTTCGTGGCATGTTTTATCAAGTATTCGATCAAATATTTGATCAAGTATTTCATCAAGTATTTTATCAAGTGTTTTATCAAGTACTTCATCAAGTATTTCATCGAGTATTTCATCAAGTAGTGGCTGCTACACTCATCGAATATCCAGGCATGTGAGTATATTCAAATCGGATTTGATATACGCTTAGCCATGTACCAGGAGAGCTTCGTCACCGACAAACATCCTGTACTTCTCCGTCTTCTGTTCCGAATCTCAGACGAATTTTATCGTCGCTGGAAACTGTGATATGATGCCGACGCCGATGCCGATGCTAAGGATTTGCTTTGTTCTTTAGATCACCACCTGATGTTTACCTCCCTACCAAGGAAGCGAGGCCAGAAGCGAGCAAGCTTCCACCGAGTAGTCTCCAGCGATGCAGCCCAACAGCCCAGAACCCTAACTTTGCGACTCTGGCACAGCTCCACTAGATAAGATCTCGCACGGCATATTACAAACCATTGCGTCTCCAGGAAACCACATGATGCATGACTTGAACCCATTTCCTAGAGTCCCCGTGGGTTAGTCTAGGGCATGGGACTGACTACCGATCCCTCTTCGAACAGTTAGTCTGGCTTTCATAAACCAAATACCGTTTCATGATTTTGATTCTGCTTTCATCTAGATTCTCGATCTAAACCACAGAGAATCCCAGTCCTGCCTTTCATACGTACAACCTCCAGTCCAACGCCCCGCTCCAATTCCCCCTCCCCCTGAAATCTTTACCAATAAACAACTCCCCTCTCCTATGAATCCAATCCCAGAAGAGGCATAGACAGGTAACGAGTACCCTGCCCTTTCTTATTTTAATATTTATTCCTTTCTTTCTTTCTTTCTTTTCTTCCTATGCTATGGGTCGTGGAAGAGATGTGTTTGTTTATATATATATATATATATATAAATGGTTATTTTTTTGCCCAGACTCAATTCTTTCTGTCGAGAGACTCGAGGCGCACGTCCAGAAGCTCACCCCGGAGTGGTTTCCATTAGCAATGTTTGCACCGGCTCGTAACATTTGCCTCCATGAAAGAGTCCGTACTTCTCTAGACCGAGATTCGGAACTGTTGAGCTCTTTCGTGTGGAGGGAGGTTTGCGATGCGGAGAGGATGAGATCCATCTCGGCAGGCTGGAGGCTGATTGTCTGGATAGACGAGACGGGGATGCTTTGTGACTTGGAGATCAGACGGAGCTATCGGATGAAAGACTGCGGTTTTTCGATGGGGATTTCGAGATGAGGCGCTTCCACTTTCGTGTGGAAGTTACTATTGCACTTGTCCGGATTCGAATCCACGTCTTGAGAGGCGATCTTGACGAGCTTCATGGTGCTGGTGATGTGGAATTGAGACGCGTTCTTATTATCGAATGTCACAGGACTTCGAGTATATATGGGAAATTGCCGGCGAGTCATGCCCGGGCACTTTCCACCTCCGGTGTGACTCCTGAGTCACATGACCAAACCCCATGGCGAAGTAATATGCACCAGACTGAGTATCTCTAGGAAGCAAAAAATCGCACCTGCCGACTTTGGTGCCATCCATGCGGATGTGCAATGTTGAATTCACATTGATATCCGGTACAGTTCGAGTTGCCAAACCGGAAGACGGCCTGGGTTGAAGGGTACCACTCCTAGATCTCTGTCGATGAATGATTCTCTCGTCAAGCCTGCTTGAAGAGCAATTTCCCATTCTCGGACCTCAGAACCACCCTCGTCTTCCCAGTGAGCCCCATCATAGCTCCAGATTTCTTTTGTGAACCCGCCTTAGCGATCTTCTCTTTGATACTCCCGTCAATATCACTAAACAGCAACGCCAACGGGCTACCCTTGAAGACCTCGAGGCCGGATCTCGCAGAGCGCACGATACTACCGATTAAGAACAGCAGCGAGGCTATAACGAGAAATATAGGGAGTGAGAGCCACACCCAGCGAATTCTGAAGAACAACTGGTTGTGGTAGGACGTTCCTGCATAAAAGGATCGAGTGGTGTTCGTGGATGGCGATCCGGGGTTGGTCCGTAGATTATTGGTCATGCTGAGAGCGAGTCGCTTGACCCATGGATCGAGGTCACCGCCAGCGGTGTTATTCCAGATCGACCCGATGAAATTCGTCGAGTAGTATTTCGTGCCGACACCTCCTTGTATCGTGCCTTCGAGCGCACCGAGACCATTTCTGGTGGAGACGAGGGAGAGCCCGTAAACAGAGAAGCTTTCGTTCGGCATGGGATTCATGCTTGCTGGGATAGCGGCAAATGTACGATTCGTCGTTACTGAAGACGAGGAAGATGAAGACGAGGAAGATGAAGACGAGGAAGATGAAAACGAGGAAGATGAAGACGAGGAAGATGAGGACGAGTCGGGCACCCCCATCGCCTGTCTCTTTTTTTGCGAGGAGGTGTCCTCTGGGGCCAACGTGGAGAAATTTCCGATGGTCTTTTGTGTCTGGACACCTTTTGAGGACGAAATGTTGTATGCTTGAACGCATATCCAAAGTCCACATTCCGTGGCTGTGATGCTCGAATTGTCGGCGTAGTTCTCGCCCCATGGTGCACCAATAGCGTCGAAGACTCCAACATAGGCTCTGTCGGAGGAACTGTAGTTGTACTTCGACCCTCCGGAGTCCAGAGTTGTAACCTGGAACAGCGGGTTCTCAATTCTGCTGACAACTGGAGATGAGAAGATCGTTCCAGTAGGCATGGTGTAATTGCAGAAAGTAGCATTACATGAGACTATGAACGTAGATGCCGAGCATTCCCCACAAACAGCGAGGGAGGGGACGATGGGCCACGTACAGTTCCCTGTCGAACAAGGAACAGCTAATGGCTGAATGTCTTGAGCGAGAATACCATTGTATATCGCAGCTCTTGTGTTGAGGTTCGGCATGTAACCTAGATAATCAGTAAAGCCATTTCGACTGAATTGAAGGTTGCTGACTAGACAAAGTTGACCCATGGTCATAGCCGTTTTCAAAGGTGCTGCGAGGCACCTCGCCAGCAGAATAGAGTACAGGATCACCAGTAGTAATGGATCGGTTTGCCAACGATACAACTTGCTGAGTGAACGTATCAAAGGCCAATGCCAGAATCGTCAGAATAGCTCCTATGGCTACCATGTTGCTACACACAAAATAAGTAAGCTTGAGTCACGATGGCTTGGAATCAACTCACCGTGCCCGGATTTGCCAGAGAAGTTTCGCACTGCCAAATGCACCTCTTGAAGCATCGTTGAAGGTCTCGAAATGCTCCAAATCCCTGACTTTGACCTTTTCGGAGTCGGCCGGAAAATAATACAGCCAAGCACTTTGAGATATGGCTGAGCCGATTGGGACCATGAGTGCCGTGTGACAAATCGTTGAGACGATAGCGACGACTCCGTTCAGTGTGAACTTCCATGCCCACTGTCGGTATTCATGACCGTCAAATTGACTTAATAGAACGATCAGCCCTAGCAGAGACAGGACTGAAATAATGGAGGCAGTGATCTCGAGCTGCCACGAAGTGAGATGCGACCTCTTGGTACCTCTGTCAGCGACTCGAGGGGAAATTAGGCCCCCATGGTCTGGCACCGATGTCGAAGCGAGGGAAATCGAAAATGGTACGCCCGCATCGTATTCCGAGGTCAACGACCGCTCTGATCGATTGCAGGGTAGCGTCGACGAGTCTTTGACGTCCCAGGTGTCGTAGGTCCCCAAGGGATATTCTTCGGGCATTGCGAAAATAGACCCGAGCAGCAGGATCAAACTACAAGTACATTACACGGATGTTCAGTTGAGTCGCATTCCAGAGTGATCATGAGGAAAATCGAAATATGTTCCCCCTACCTCGTATTCCAAAAGTTAAAGGGGGCAGGTCGCGAGATCCGTTACCTGGTCGGCGTCTGATGGTTTTCGTTTGGCAGCACGACGTCGACGCACCTCCTAGTGTCGTGAATTCTGGCGATAGCAACGCAAGCATTGTATAGGTGGGATAGGAACGGCAGTTATCATTCAAAGTGGCGCCCCATAAGTAGAAAAATCTGGCTCTATCAAAGATCTATTTAAAACTCAGGGACAGTTCACGGACCATGATCTACCTTCAGATCTAAAAATAATCGTCCACTTCACCCACCGTAAATCGTGATTAGGACTGCTTGAATTTCCCCTCTTCCTCCATCGCGCCGTATGATTTTCCGTTGAGCAGAAACTTTCAAGTAATAGTCAGTGCACTGACTTTGTATGTAACCTGCGGGCTCTCGGTCACAGTCAAGGCAAGCAAGTGTCCCGTTTCAAATATTTCAACTTGTATTGGGAATAACTTGACAACGAATAAAGCTATGATATTAAAAATTTAATACTTGTAAAGAGCTCGATTCAGCCGATTAATGCATTCAATTTTCATTAATACAGCTCTTTTTATTATTAAATTATTTAAGTTGCAAATCGTAAAAAAAGAAATTATCCTTGATTTTTTATCGAAAATAATCGAAAATCGCGATTTGTATTAAGAATAAATCAATAACGGAAAGAGCTATAACAATGATAATTAGATATACTAATCGAAGTAAATGGATTATATTTGACTTATAAAAAAATATTATATGTTTCTATTATAAAAATAAGTAAAATAATACTTATTACGCAAAATTTTCAATTGTAAAACCGAGAAAAGCTCGGACAATTTAGCGAAAATTCAAGAACATCAACTTTTCGATTATATTTATAACTTAAATAAAATAATAATTATAAAAGCTATAATAATAAAAACAGATTGCACGAGTCCTCTTAGCTAAGAGCTTTATAAATATTAAATCTTTAGATCAGAAAATAGTATAATATACGATTAATATTAGAAAATATAAAATTTTCAATAGAAAATATTTGATTTCCAATCAAATTCAGTTGATAATTGTATATTATTTACTTTATTAATTATCAAATTATTAATAAAAAGATTTTATACTTGGTTAGATTTTGAAAGATCTCGATTACGCCGATCTATGCATTTAGTTTTGAATATTATAGCATTATTCGTTGCTAAGTCATTTCTAATACAAGTTGAAATAATTGAAATGGGACACTTGCTTGACCTGGGACACTTGCTTGCCCTGACTGTGACCGAGAGCCCGCAGGTTACAAAGTCAGTGTGCACTGACTATTAAGCGTTGTCTAATTCCACCTCGGTAGCAGTTCCGCGGATCAACCCTAGCTTATGGTCACGTGTACCACGAGTACTACCCCTTTTTTAGCGAGAAAGTGTCCTTTCCGAATCCGCGTCCCCGGATTTTTAGATGCCGAGCTTCCTAGCTTGAAATATTTTGACAATCAGCATCAAACGACCTGGCAATGATAATATCTAGCAGCTGAGGACAGATATATCAGAAACCCTCTGAAACATTTCCGCTCTCCTTCGCCGCCGAATTCTTTTGATTTCCGAGAATCTCGTTCAGAGTATCGAGACATACTATGCTCGATCTTTCTCCGTCGGCTCTTCATTTAAAGACAAGAAAGGGGCCCATAAAGGTCTCATCACGGCGACAACCTCCGCTCGAAAGCTCCCAACGACATCTGTAGCTCCTGCTACTCGGCAGCCAAGCTCGAAGAAGTGAGTAATGTAGCCGAACTGCGTCTCTTGCTTTCGGATGCATCATAGCCTGCTTGGAGAAACCCAGCCTGGAACGCCCCCTTACATTTTCAAGGCCCTTTCTACCCCATAGATAACCCATGATTTGAGATGAAGTCGCAATGATGCTGTGCCGTTAACTGAAAACCTTGATCGTGGTTTCTTTCGAGGCTGATAAGCCGCAGTAGAGCATCGGTCGACCGGTCGGAGGTCTAGAAGACGCTACTCTTGAGCAGGTGCCTATTTATGAAAGACGGAGGATAGTCTGAGGCAGGCTGTAGCGGTGCCTGAGGATGTCTTGGGTCCGTTATATCCGATTGTGCTGAGGCATCTGAGTGCTTTAGAGGATTGGTAGCGGGGATAAGGGAGATTGGGTAAGGTGAACGAGTTAGGGTCTGAAGTTGCTGGATGGACGGGCCTAGATAAGACGGATATGGAGGAGACGGGCCTCACATAACGGTTTCCGAATCTGAACTCGGGATGTTTCCGTCAGACAGATGTGTACCAAGGTACTAGAGAGTCGCGAAAGATCTAGCATCCACCACTTCAACTCTGATCAAAGCAGTAGTATACTTACTAAAACAAAAAAAGAGTGACAACCTACTAAACACCTACCCAGCGTCAAGATTGCTAGAGTGAACATCCTCTTGATCAAGAATACTGCCAAATCTTTCCGGTCGTGGACGTGGGCACAGAACCTGCAGACTTTTACCAACTTCCTTTGATCGACAGTGTGGATAGCGGCGAGCATGTCGGTATGATTCAGATCGCAGTCCTCTTACACGTTGAATTCTTCTGCAAGCGTGGCTCGAAGCCCTGAAGAACAATCTGGTGGAGGCGATTCCGCCCTCGTTCCGCCCTCTTTTGAACGAACCGCTGACCGCACAACTCTTCAGAGAATCCTCCGCCACTGATCGGAAGTTGCGAATGTGACTTTATTTATGATTTTGTTAGATTGGAAGTGGGGCAGAGTTAAGCGAAATTGTTTTATCATGCATACGAGGAGGCCGCATCCGCCATCGCCAGCTCTGGAGTCTTGTTCGAGATTTGTTTGTTTTCCCGATCTTCTCCCTCGATTATTTGAGATCATTCACTCGATGACTCTAGGTGAGTCGGTAGATTCGGTGCAGAAGCAAACTTTCCCCTGCTGGTCCTGGAAGCTCAAAGCCTTTGCCAAGCGATTGGGGGAGGTAGGGGAGTCATCCACCTTCCTTCTACTCGCTCCCTCGGGGGATGACTAGGTACCGGTACCGGTACCGGTACAACTACTACGTAGTACATAAGTACTACGTCCCAGGCGTAAGTATTATCCCTCGAGGGTAGGGCAACTAGGGGATTTAAAGTGGAAACTAGACTTTTGAGGCACCCTCGAGGGGTAATACTTAGGCCTGTACCGTGGTAAGTACGGTACTGCACAGCAGCACAGCAGGATGCTCGGAAAGCTTCTGGGACGTGCTGTAGCCTTAAGTCGCTGCGGATCCAAATAAGCTCTACATATGACCCTCTAAAATTTAACTTCAAGCCTTTAGCCCCTTACTGTAGCCCTTTAGCCGAATTCAAAGGACGAGCTGTCCATCAACCGCCGACGAGGATCCTCCGTCATGGATGCGGGAGACTCCAAGGATCACGCTCCGTATCCAAGGCCGATCTTGATGTTGGGTGTAATACATAAATAGCCAATCCATCCCAACGCACGCGAAATTGTGTCCATGTTTTCATGTCGCCTTGTCTGTGTACGGACCTCACCGACCCTCACGCAGTCTGTCTACCGTCGTTACCTAATGTTTTGAAGCCAACGATTTGAGTGTATGCGTCAGCCATGAAGTATCAACCAGTACCAGCTATAACAGCCCTCGTCGGCGTCGCCTCGTTCGCTGCCGTCAGCGGACGCGAGACTGGGGCATATGTCTATGTGCCCACCGAGTGGAGATATGGCGCAAACACAAAGATCACAGCCAATATAACCGTCGGGACCGGGGCTGTAAAACCAGACATCGAAGTTGTGATGGACACGGGTAGCACGGGGTTCTGGGTGAGTACTTATTTGCCTACCTACCTACCTACCTACCTACCTACCTACCTACCTACCTCCCTCCCTCTCAGAACTGACATACCTCGCTATCTAGTTGTGGGAAGCCGGCGCCGTCGTGAACTGGGGCTCGGAATTCCTCTTCACGCCCGGCCCATGCAACCAGACCGTCCCCCTGTCCATCAGCTACAACATCTCGGAGTCGCCTTCGGGGGTGTTGACGGACCGCTCGTCCCAGTTCGGGTACAGCGGCTCGAAGTTGCTGAACGGGCAGCACTTCGCGAACGACACGCTTGTGTTCCAAGGGGGCAACACCACAGCCAATGTGCAGTTTTCGCTGATTAACTATATGAGTGACCGCACGCGCATCCAGAACGGTGTCTGCGACGGCATCACATACGATGAGTCTATCCTGGGACTGGCGCCTGGCTCGCCGTTTCGCGCGAATCTGTATGAGACGGGGAAGACTGCTTCTAGGATAATGAGCATGGTGGGTGGCCTTTTCGTCTTGTTTACGTCCCACTTTGAGTTCCGAGGTGGGCAACGCTGACTTCGGTAGTGGATCGACAAGTACACAGGACCGCTAGGAACACTCACCGGCGGCATGCTGTTCGGCGCCCTCGACAAGTCCAAGGTACGTACATGCTCCCCAGTTCTCCACAGCGATCCCGAGAGACGAGGAGACCCATCCTGACATTCACATCCAGTACACCGCCCCCCTCGTCAGAGTTCAAAACTACCAACAGGCGGCCTTCTACGTCCCCCGGCCCAGGGTCTCCTTCAACGGCGTCGAGACCCCGGTCGCCTACAACGGCTCCTGCCTCATCGATACCGGCACCCACAGCGACACGATCCCTATCGCCAGCTTCAGCGCGGAAGAGACCTCCTTCTACAACACCTCCAACGGCCTCCTCCTCATGGACGAGGGCGGCGTCGCCTACAACGGCTCCTGCGACTCCATCCCCCTGGACCTGCACATGGACTACACCTTCGACGCCGTCGCCCCCGGTGAGTACATCACCATCAGCGTGCCGCTGCGGAACTACGCCCGCGGCGCCCATACGGACACGGCCAACGTGTGCCCGCTCGTGCTGTACACGGGCGGGAACACGGTCGATTCGTGCACCTTCGGCGCCCCCTTCTTCACCGCCGCCTTCGCCGCCTTCGACGAGGCCGACAACTCCATCTACCTCGCCAAGGGCGCCGTCTCGAAGCCCGGGTCGGGCGTGGATTTCGACCGCTTGAAGGTCTTTGGTGTCGGGGACACCATCACCACTACCCCTTCCAAAATGGCCGATTTTTTCTTCCACCTTCCGAAGTAAATGCGCGAGATTATGAATGAAATCAGTGATTATTTTTTTCTTCGAGGTTTTGGCATGACTAACCAGCTCATAGAACTGAAATAAATTTCACAAAGTTTATGTAAATTGCTTGCAAGCTAGGTATTTTATCGTGAGCGTTTGCATTATGCCTCAGCTAAGCGAGCCCCCCCTTTCTTGTACATACCTTAGATAGCCCTTTCGGAACCTCTTCCGGTTCTATACCTTGATACTTGAAGTATTCTATCAATTATTCTGAAATAATATCCTCGCCTTCATTTAAGATCAATAATTTACAAACCGGCTTTTCTCTAATTCTTCAGCGGGATTCGCTCTCGCCGTTCGTTCTACTCGGCTTGTATTATCCGACACCGCACTCATTCTCTCCCCTGAACATTTCACTTATTCCACCGACCATTGATAATTCTTGATCTAGCTTTCTCGGTAGCTAATCAGGCCGCAGGTGAGTTAGTTAGTAAGTTAGTTTTGTCAATTAACCAATTGGCTCTGAACGGTTCTTTATCTGAAAAGCATGTATTATTTACCCCACTTTTGTATTTTCCCATCCATTATCTTTTCTGTTTATTTACTTATTTATATGGGCTTCCCATATCAATAAGAGAGGAAGACGATATAAATAAGGGATATTCCAGGATTCTAAGGAGCGCACTTTCTTGGCTTTTATAGCTTATTTGTATATGTTTATATGTTTATCTCGTATTGGCGAAGATGAAAGAGAGATGGATGGCGAGATGATCTGTAGCGTGGCAGGAAAGGGACTGAAATAAAAAATTGATTTTTTTTTACATATATTTAAATGCATATTTATTTTTAATTTTAATTTTATACTGATATTAATGTTTATATTGATATTTATATATATATTGATATTTATATTGATATTTATATTGATATTTATATTGATATTTATATTGATATTTATATTGATATTTATATTGATATTTATATTGATATTTATATTGATATTTATATTGATAATTATATTGGTAATTATATGTATACATGTATGTATGTATGTATGTATATATATATTTGTGTATTTACCTATATTGAGATTTGTATTTATGTTCGTATTTTTATTTATAATTTATTTATATTTCTAGGTGTTTTTTGTTGATCAGGATTTATCTGATGTATCTTCGAGACTATATATGGCACTTCTACTTCTACTTCCACTTCCACTTCCACTTCCACCTCTTCCCCCGTGACAACGCATCCGTCTCCTTGGATCCAAATCCAACACCACCTGGTGGCCCGTGATTGCTCAACGAGGAATCCATGCATTTCGCCTGTTGTATCTGTACGCCCTCATATCCTATCAGGACGGTCCCCCGCGCCACAGTCAACCCGCTTCGCCTATGTCAGCAGTAGTATCAGCATCAGCATCTGCATCTGCATATACCTAACTACCTTAATATCAAAGCCTGTCCAACGACTAGCGTGCCCAGCAGCCCGTATCAAGCAGCAATCGGCGACGGCAGGGCTTATGATTCGACCGTGTTTGTTGTGAGCGGATAGGCCGACTGAACAAACGCAGAGTAGCAAAGAACATACGAGCCGAGCATTCCAATGCCATGGGCAATAAGTGAATAGGTAAAGCTTCAAAGTGGTATTGAGAGTGGTGTTGAGTAGTGAAATAATTCATGGATAAGGCCCTGGAGTGTCTCGGTAATCGAAGCAGGTAAGCTACCTACGAAGCTCGTTAACTACTGCTGTCGCGTCTCCCGCCGTCGATCGGCTAAAATACGCGACAGCTGGACTTTTTGCTGCTGACCAATTTCAACCTCATCCTGATCATCAACCTTATATCCTAATCTCCACCCGCATACCACTACACCACCGCCATTACACCACCACCACACCATACCATACCATACCACCCGCTACAATTAAATTGCAATTATCTGTAATGGCGCACCCTCCCCAAATAGACATCATGCACTTCGTGGAGCGCTACCAAGCTCTACGTGCTGTGCAGGACAGCTCGGACAATTTAGTAAAGGTCCGTACCTCCAGCCCCAGTAATTCGAGGGAGCTCCCTCTGACCTCAATCGCAGGATCTCATGTTATACGCCGAGAGCGTTGAAACCGCTCTCCGGGACGAAAACGCACGCTTGACCAAGGAGTTGAACGATATGACCCTCGATTTGGAAGATGCCCGCCGCTCGAGGCGGGAGATGCACCAGCAGTTGAACGCCGCCCAGCAGCGTGTAACCCAATATGGCTACGATTGCGAAAATATGAAGGTGGCCACGATCTACCGGAGAATGCTCGACCCATGCTGATATCTGCAGAACCGGAACCCGTACATTATGGTCTTAATCGATGGAGATGGCATGATTGTCAGTATTACCTGGGTGACTTTGAACTCGACGGAGCTTCTGCTAATGCCGCCCCAGTTCAACGAAAACCTAGTACGACTCGGCATCGAGGGTGGGAAACAGGCGGCGACTGTTCTACGAAATATGGTTCTGGAAAATTGCCACGACCTGACGGATCAAATTGAGGTTATGGCCAAAGTCTGTGCAAATATTGGCGGATTGTCGAAGGCGATGCGGCGGGATGGGTCTATCGATAATCCGGAGGACCTGAGAGAGTTTACCTTGGGATTTTCACAAGGAAAAGCTTCGTTTGATTTCATCGATGTTGGCCATGGGAAGGAGAGGGCAGATTCAAAGATCAAAGGTATGCTCCGTTTGCCAGAACTTCGCGGGCAGAACAAGACGGAGGGCTGACCTGTCTAGAATGTATGCGATGGCATCTACGTAATCACAATTGCAAGCAAATCCTCCTAGGAATCTCCCACGACGCTGGTTACGCCCCCTTCCTCGACGAGGTAGTCTCCCACGAAGACCGTGGCCGAATAACCATAATCGAGGGCCCCCCGGTTGTGCGCGAGCTTAGAGCCACCGGCATCCAAATCATAAATTTCAACAATATTTTCCGCACCGAGAAGCTCGTCGATCGCCTGGCGCCCACTCCCAGTGAGCAAGTTCCCTCCACGTGGGCCGGTGTTACCTCAATAACCTCGCCTATCCGCTCCGACTCCCCCGTTTCAATCAAAGCCGGATCGACGACAACTATATCTCTCAAAAAGCAAACCCCAACACCCACACCCGCAAAACTAGCCTGGACCCCCGAACCCCGCGGCCTGGATCCCCCCATCACAGTCAACGCCGCCGTGCTTGACAAGATCAAGCGCCGCACCAACTCCAACAAGCTGTGCAACAATCACTATCTGCGCGGCCCCTGTGCCAAAGGCGACGAGTGCTGCTTCGAACACAAATACAAACCCACCGATGAAGACTTGAAAGCTATCGCCTACCTGACGCGCCTAAACCCGTGCTTGAACGGCCAGGAATGCGAGCTCGAGTATTGTATCTACGGACACCATTGCCCCAGCGTGACGTTCCCTGCGGGCAGCAAGGAGCCGGTTTGTGTTGCTTTTGGTTGCCGCTTCGGCAAGGAGGATCACCCGCCCAATACAGTTATCAAGCACCCACGAAAGGAGAAGTGGGAACGGGAGTCATTTTATTGAAAGTGAGAGCTAAAAAATTGCCTTTGTCGAATGAGATTTTGCTGGATGTGCTGTTACGCTTGGGTGGAGGGGGGACGGGATGAACGAAAGTTTAAAATAAAATAAAACCCGATCTCGTGCAAAACTTGCTCGGATCAGAATAGTTGGGATGGAAAGGAGCGGGCCGATCGCTTGTTCGTCCGCCCAGCCGCATTCTTTGGGAAGTTGTGTATTTTATCTGTCGCGGTGGATGTTTAATTTTTTGTTTTCATACAGACATTCATCTGGCTTGGGGTGGGCATGGCGGTGGCAGGGTGGTAATTGAGCGAGCGCGGAGGAGAGGAGAGGGTTTGTGTAGCGAATAGTGAAGATATGCAGCCCAGTATAATACAAACATGACATAATGTACAGTATAGCTAGCGGACAGACGGGAAGAGGTGATGGAGATGTGTATGTATGTGTGTGTATATTCGAGCTCAATGTTACGTTTAAGGTATGTATATATATATATATTCGTCAAACCGACTTCTGCCTACCTCCTCGCTAGGAAATCAGTATACGTTGATCTCGGATGTTATATATGAGGGCTTTAACTGCTACGCTACTTTACAAATGGGCAGATCTTTTCAATTATACTCAGGCACGATCGACGAGTACGCATTTCTTTCTCTCTTTCATTTTCTCTCTTTTCCTTTTCTCTTCCTCTCTTCCTCTCTTCCTCTCTTCACAGGGATAGGATTAGGAAGCAATCTTCATAGGAATAAGGAATCTATCTTCCTTCTAAAACCAGAAGACAGGGTAGAGGGAAGAAGGAAAATGTAAAGAAAAGAAAATGTAAAGGAAAGAAAATGTAAAGAAAAGAAAATGTAAAGAAAAGAAAATGTAAAGAAAAGAAAATGTAAAGAAAAGAAAGTATAAAGAAAAGATATTGTAAAGTAAAGATACTTGCTACTAAGTGAGGTCCGTACGTACGGAGAAAACAGAATATGATACAATGACAATCGCGTCAACTTCAACGTCAACTTCAAAGGTAGAGGTTTCACATATCTTCCTCTTCCCTTTCCTTCCTTTGCCTTCCTGAGTCAAACACCCCCTCCCCATCAATACCCAACCGCCAACCCACCCCGTATCCCCTCCGCCCGATCCCTCTCCTCCAAATGCCTCACAACAGCCATAAACAGAACCCGCGCCACGAGCGGCGGCACCGCATTCCCAATCTGCTTCTTGACATACGCGCCGCGGAACGCATGATCGTGCGGGAAGGACTGCAGGGCCGCCAGCTCGCGCAGGGTGAGGCCGCGGCTGCCGTCCGGGTAGCCCTTGGTGCCGCCATCGCAGCACAGCGTCGAGATGGTCGTGCGCGCGTCCCAGCGGCCTTTGCCCATGTCCCGGACGGCGTGCACGTCGTGGTTGGGCGCGCCGCGCGGGATGCTCTGCAGGACGGCGGCGACGGTGTTCAGGGGCTGCAGCGGGCCGTCGGAACGGCTGCTGCTGCGGCTACTTCTGCTGCCGTCTTCCGAGTGGGTGTAGGCTGGGACTTGGGGGAGGGTTTCGCCGGGGCTGAAGGGGGAAAGGTATAAATGTTAGTTTTTGAATCCAGATAGGAAAAGAGGGAGGAGAGAGGAGCGGATGAAAGCTGGCTGTACTTACCACGCGGCGAATATGATGAGCCGACGGCGCGTCTGCGCTAGGCCGTAGTACTGGAACTGGACCAGCTGCCACGAGACGGCGTAGCCGTACGACGTGAAGATCTGGACCAGGCTGTGGAAGGCGGCCTGGAACTTGGGGTGGAGGATACCAAAGGTCTGCTCGAGCGTGATGATGCGCGGACGCGCCTTATTGACGATAGCGTCGCACGCGAATAGCGAGTCGAAGTTCTGCTGGTCGTTATTGCCGGGTCGGGCGTGCATCGGCGAGAAGACCTGGCACGGCGGTGACATATGCAAGATATCGACCCGGAAGCCATCCGCTTCGCGCAGGGCCATCAGCTCGTGTACCCAGAGCTCGTAGTGAGTAGCCTGAGGGAAGTTGTGTCGCCACGTTTGGCCGGCATTCTTATCGAGATCGAGTCCCCAGATCACGCGGAGTCCGGCAGCCACCGCACCACTCGTTGTTCCGCCGGCACCACAGACTGAAAGCTGATTAACACACGAAGGAGTGAGTGAAATGGAATAAGAGAATAGACTTACAAGCATCGCCGTATGTATACGAGCTTCTACCATGTTCGGTCCTACTAGCTGCAGGAGCGTTCGCGCCTTCGTCTGTACTCAAAACAGAGCGTAGCCGCACTCGGATATCCTCAATCTCTTCCCGAGAAACATTCAATTTCTCGTCCTCATCCTCGTCCAAGATCTCGATGATAGAATGCCGACGTTGACGAGAAGCTCGCGGCTTCGGCTTTTCCTGAACTTTGCTCTCATGGAGTCTTTGAAAGTGACTGAACAGATCTTCGGCCGTATCGAAACCGTCACCACATTCGTGACACTCGTAGTTGTGGTGATGGGCACCTCTCGGAGCCGGTCGGGCCTTGGGCTGGGAAACCTGCGGATCGGCGCCGCGAAGAACAACAGTGTCACCTTGCCAGGCTTTTCGAAGCTCAGCAAGACGCATGAAGCATCCCGGGGTACATTCCGGCTCCGCAAGACGCTCTAAGCATCTCTTGCGGACATGGAATGGATAGACCTTTTCCCACTTTTTCGAGCGGTCTAAAGCATTATCGTAAAACGTGACGAATTTCCACCGAACAACGACGCGCTCAAAGTCTCGGACGTAGGCCATGTTTTCCTCTTTGGTATCGAATTGCAGATGGAGACGAGAGAAACCAAGTTGGGGCATTGGAAAATTGGTACAGATGAGCTGTCGAATCCTGATTAGGCCGTATAGTCCTTTCTCGACCATACTTTGCTCCCACACGCCTCGGTGATCGTCGTGGTCTACTTCCAACATGTAGCACAGCTCATTGAGCTTTTTAGGTACAAGGCCGTTCAGGTCTTTGCAACGCTTCAGTAGCCAGCCCCGCAAAGTCACTTCGTCGGTTTCAACGTTCAGAATAACCTTGGCAACTTTAAGAAAGCTGCCGTCGAGGAATTCAATAGTCTTTCCAGGCTTGAGTTCCATGTTTCGCAGTTTGTGTTTCTCGATCTCAACAAAGGGCAAGACGACGGCTGCGTTTCGCTGGGGAGGGCGTAAGACGTTGAGTCTACGATTGCGAGATGACTGAGGTCCTTGCGCCTCTGGTCGACGAAAGTATTGTCTTTCAAGCCGATCTTCAAAGTCGTCCATGTTATTGGCTCCTCCAGGGCTTTCGTCATCGATAAGGTCGATGTCGATAATTTCAGAATCGGGTACGCGGGACTGAGGTCGTGCTGGATCGTATCGACGTTGGCGAGGAACTTGGTCGGTGACTGGAGTTGGCCCAAGTCCCTCAACATCAGATAGAAGTGCTGGTACCAATTCATGAGACCTGATGCGCTTTTTGGGTGCACTTGGCTTACACGAGCGTACCTCGATGATTTCGACTTCCAAATCAGAGTCATCCGGGGAGGTCATGGGTGTTGAGACTGGACTTAGCGATGACGATGGGGAATTAACCAAAGTGCAGGAGGACAATGTTGATGGTGCACGAGATCTTTTGAAGGAGACACTCGGCTCGACTTCCGATGGAGCTGAGCGAGCTGCATAAAGATGAGCGTCAGCAAAGAACAAGAATCAAACAGAATGCAAGCAATTTAAACTTGTTAGAAGTACCAAGAGGGTGGAATAAACCCGGACTGATGGTATATCCCAGGTTATAGAAATGAAAGATTTGAAGACAGGCAATGAAAACAGTTTAGACTTACCATGAGGGTCTAATCTGGGCAATCCATCGTCCCCGAGGATATAAAGTGTGCCTGGAATGTTCGGCATGTTGATGGAGACTGCAAGCTTAATTCAAGGTCGTTTTGTTGTGATCTCAAGAGGTAGTTGGGAAGAGAAGTTGGGGAAGATGCCAGGGAAAGAAAGCTGAGGGGCGACGTGGTAGAAGTAGGAGGCCGAAAGGTGAACACTTGGTTGTAGCCTTAACGGGAGATCGATCTGAAGCCACGCTAAACACAGCAGATGTTTAGCAAGTTGATCCGCATCAAGTCGAGATATGACTATAGCTTGATCTCGAAAGGTGGTATTGAGATTGTGGCTGCAGTTGAGGTCGAGTTTGAGGTTGTTCGTTCGACGGAGGAGGAGGTCAAGAAGAAGACGAAAATCAAGCTAGTCTAGTGGAGGGAGCCACTTTGGGACGAGGTGAATTTGGTAGTGTAAGAGCTGTGAATTCGGGAGTTGAAGGAGCTTTAAATGTGGCTGGGTGTTTTGCTTAAGTGCGAGCCGCATATCATTCACCGATACTCAAAACAGGAAACCACAAAGCCCCCTATGGGACGTAAGCTGACTCAGATAGTCCCAACTAGCTGACTGATAATTCACTTGAATTACAATCAACAACGCAATTTTCAATTCCGAATCACTCTGCCTCTACGGACTCATAAGGGTTTATAACACCAAATGTAGTCTGTAGATACGAGAATTCTTTCCCAAGAGTCGATCTCCGAAGAAAAAAACATGCTACTCCCTTTCCCGTCTTGCAGACTTTCCCATGGTGCTACATGAGGCCGAGTATACAAGATAAGAAATCAATATACTTGAAATTTGAGTAAACTTTGAGTATCCAAAGGTCCTTGAATCAAAAATAGATACTGGCAGATCGTAGAGAGCAGATGTTGTTGTTGTTGTATTTATTTACGTCGGGCGGGTAGCAGGCGAAGCCTGCCGCCCTGGGACCTCCCATGGGGTACGGCGACGTGCTAAGCTAAGGAGTTACATACAAGAAAACCCCAGAAAGCAATTCAAAGTGCTGCAGCGAGAGCTGCTGTCGTCTGCGCCCTTCCCCTACGGATAGTATGGATCACAGTGCGTAGAGAGCAGATAGCAGATCGATTTGAGCAGGGGATGTAGTACATAGCATAGCGTGGGTGCGTATTATTCACGAAATCAGAACATACAATGAGTTCTGCGAATGAGGACACGGCTTGGGGAATCCCAGAGCAGTGAGCATCTTATAGACTACCGACTGGTACTTGGCAGGAAACAATGCCCACATACCTCGACTCATCCGTAGATAAAGCAGGCAAGATGTGGCAGCTGTCCGCCTCCGACAATCGATGTGCCTCGCGATTGATAAAAGCTCGATCAAATAGCAAACAAAACAAAAAACTTGTCCTCGGCTACAATGAACTCGTTGCCGACAGTCCCAAAATATGAAGGGGAACTTTAACGAAGACAGCGAGTAGGCCACGTTGGACGCATCGAACCAAAGCTCGCATCGAATACCAAAAAATGATCGTTCCCTGACTGCCACTCTACTAAGAATGATCGGCTGTGGTGCGATAATCTCCTGTATTTTTGCACTGGTCTTGCCAGAACTCACATCAACGCCAAAAATGCTCTTGAGATGCACGCTCAAAGCTTGGCAAACATACTCTGTCGCAAGAGTTCCACGCCTAATCCACCACCTCCCCTCCCCCTGAATACGCTTGCCATTGCCTATTTCTTCTTCTTCTTATCCTTCTTCTTCCCCTCTATCGCTCCCTGCGGTTGCGTACTCGGTCCCGGACCACCCCCCATCATCGCCTGCATCGCGCTCAAATCCGGCATGCCAGGTATGCCAGGCATGCCGCCCGCGCCTCCAGCACCGCCCATCTCCTTCATCATGTCTCCGAGAAAGTTATCGCTAACACCTCCTCCTGTTAGAGCGGGCGAGTAATGCGGGAGCAGCGTGCTCATCTTCCATCCCTTGGGGACCGAAGGCTCAGGATAGGGTTTCGAGGGATCGCGGGGAGGGATGCCCGGGACCTGGACTTGCGAGGCGGTGGAGGGAGTTGTGGGGTTAGCTTTTAGGTGTGCGGAGATGAGGATATAGAGGTGGTGTTCTATTTCGTACAATCAGCAACGCGTCATTCGAAGCCATGACAAGATAGAAGACGTAAAAGGAAAGCTCCTTGACCAGTTCCTCCGGAACAGAAGAAGCATGGAGAGGATATAAAAGCAAAGCTGAAGCGAACAGCATACTATTCTTCACTCTCCCATTCCGGCCTCCCTTCAGCTTAATCTTTACCCGCCCCGGATTTGCCCAGTCCTTCGGATGGATCTTGGTTGGTTCAAAAAGCGTCTCCAACCCCAGCCGCGAACAGGCATTCACAATCTCCCTCGCCAGCGGGTTCGCAACTGCCAGCTCCTTGCCCACCATCCGTCCCTCCTTCCTGCTCCTGCTCGCGTCAAAATACACCGGATAGACGCATTGGAAAGCGGCGTATTTCGACTGGTCTTCCGCTTGCATGAATCGGGTTCCATCAGGCGCGGTTTGAACTTTCGGGGCGGCGGACGGAGGCGGTTTGTTGGAGCTAGAGGAGCTGGGAGCGGGTTTGGACGGCGCTGAGGGACGAGCTCGTAGGATTTCGCGCTCGTCCAAGTCGTCAGAGTCGCTGATGTCGCTGATGTCGCCCTCGGAGGGATCGCTGTCGGATGCTTCTTCGATGCGGGCGTGCGACATTATGGGCGGGGAGGCGGTCGGTCGGTGCTGCTTCCTGGTGAAAAGGTGAAAAGTGAGTGAGATTGGAAAGTGATTGAGGTTGCGAGCTGTGGGGTTTGGCGGGGTTTCTTGGAGCTCTGAGCTGAGGGCACGTGATAAGTCAGGATGGAAGGGAGAGGTCAGGCGCTGGGCTGGTGATTCTGCAAACTTTTATAGTATCAGACAAGCTTTGGAAGATTAAAGTATGGATGTGATGATCGAAGAAAGACTCCGTGGCGTGGCGAAGCTTAATGAGACTTGCAAAGCTGTTGACTACTACTTACATCCTCACAAGTCCAATCCGAAGCAGGCCATTTTGCATAGACCATGAGCTCGTATATTTAGAAATTATCATAAAACTATTGCATCAAAAGGTAAGCGAGTCCCCGACGTTCTTTCGCCACGCCGTGTCATAAATACGAAGACCTGTTCATTCCCTATTTTCAATTCTCCGAGCCCAGTCATCGCCAACACGCAGTCCCTCTACAACTACAACCCCTCGGCCTCGGCCAACGCGGTCCTCGCGCTCCCACCAGTGCTCTTTCTTTGGTGCATTCTCGGCTTCACTCTCACTGTCCGCGAGTCCACCGTGGCCACCGTCTGCGCCAACTACTAGGACAACATCTTGTCTGAGCCAGGTTTGCAATTGGTTGACCAGTTCGCCATTATTTCCCGAGAGAGATTCCTGGAGGTATACTATCTCGGGTCCGAGATGGCGGAGGATATGGACGTGCCCAGACGGTGTTGTGAAGGGGAGAACCATTGTCTCCTTCTCAATAAGTGCCAAGCCTTGGGCATATATCGCATTGAATGCTGGAGATGGGGAGCTGGAAGATCTGAATGTGTTAAGTTTGAAATCAACGGAAGAAAACCAACTTACAATTGCTTTTCCGATTCTGATCCTGGTGTCTGTGCTTGTTCGTGCCCTATATTCGAAAATGAGGAACTGAGAGATCCGGGAGGCCTGGCACCCCCCGCATCAAGAGGATGTTCCTTCAATCCTGGAGCGTATATGAGAACGAAAAGTCGTACTTTAGAGAAATCGATATTCCGAGGGAGATGTGACAGAACAGACTGTAAATATTAGACATGTAGTCAGCCAAAGAACTGGGCTCTCACAGCATGTTCATGGAACTCGCCCTCGTCGTGAACGAGAGCATCAGAGTGCGTATCAGCAGATACCACAACAGCGACTGTTTTCCGCCTTCCATGATGGACGGCAACTCTCTGAGCTGGCGCAACGCCGGGTGTATGGTCTGCAGAGCGCATCTCGATAGGTCCTTGCGTTTCGGTCAACGCCCTCGCTGCAGCCTCCTCGCTCCATGTCTTGTGGTCCTTGTAGGCGGTTCTGTCCTCCTCCATGATACTACCCAGCGCGCTCCCAACCACGGCGCCCATCGCGCCGATGCCACCAACTACACTGCGGCTGGCATTGTCGAAGAGTTGCTGTGGGCTTGGAGTCCTCCTCAGCGCGCCCGACATCCGAGCCATATAACTCTGGCTTTCCTCTGGTCTTGGCCCTGGGGCCGTGCCATATGCCACTTCTCCTGGCCTCACATCCGCGTACGAAGGAGGCCCTGTCCTGATAGTGCCATCCCGATGGTGACCTGGTCGATCGTAGACGCTGTCGTTATCTCGCGGAGGGCGAGGAGGATAGTCGTCGTCGTCGTCGTCGTCATTCCGCTCGCTCCAAATCCACGCAGCGAGACCAATCGTCGCAACGGTGACTGAAAAGGCGAGGGGCAACCAGTATGTGAGCGCGCCGCGCTGAGAGGAGGAGGACTGGGTCCTGCGCCCAGATTGATCGTAAGACATATTGGAGGTCCGAGAATCGAGATGGAGGCCGTGGATGTGTTCATTACATTCTTCGGGTTGCTGGCATTCTGGAGAGGGAGGCGCATTTGTGTGAGGAGAGAGAGATGACGCACTCTCGAGATAAACTGGGAGTCCTCCGGTTTGTTGACTTCACTGAGCAGCTTTCACCGCGGATCCCTGTTACAATCATCACCACGTGACTACAGGTGTATGACTAACAAAATATCTGACCTTGACCTTATATACAGATCGATACTCACACTTCATACAACACAAAACCATTGAACGCTTTACAAAAACTCATACCTAAATCTGTCCAACACGCAAACAGATCCGGTTACACGCCGTCTATTCAAGCACTTCATAGAGGAGTCGCCACAAAAAATAGAAACCCAAAGTAGGTCGACCGGTGGTAGAACCACAACTCACGATGCCTCACGCTCTCTCGATGCCAGCCCCTGGCTTCCAAGCCATCATACTTTGCGGTCCTGGATCTTCGTTCCCGACCTTCACGGCAAACCCGGACGAGAGTCCAAAGGCTCTAATACCGATTGCAAACCGGCCTATGGTCTGGTACGCCATCGACTTCTGCTATCGGATAGGTATCACGAGTAGGTTAACCTTCTCGTTTTTGTTCATATCCTACGCAAGTCAACATATGCTTTTCGTTGTCTTGAGATTTTGTCTCAAACTTTCGTCATTTTGTCAAAATCAAGTGCGAGACATTGGAATTGCGCTTGACAATGAATGGGCCCAGCTGGAACGTCTCAGCTGTCATGCATTAGGGTTTATCATATTTTGCTGCGAACCGGAAATACCAAATACTGATGAAATTTATAGACATCACTCTGATTACCCCACCTTCATCTGCTCCAGCGATCACAGCTGCTCTCAACACAAACCCCCATCTCACAGGCCTCCCGCTACCCAAGCCGGATCTTTTGGCTCCAAAAGACCTCGAGCAAAATACCGGCACGGCCGAAATATTTCGCTTACCAGAAGTTCGCGCCGTTGTTAAAGGCGACTTCATTGTGCTACCATGTGATCTGGTTTGTGAGCTTGGCGGAGAATCACTGCTGGAATCATGGATGATCAAGGAGGGTGGTCTCGGTGGTGCAACAGGTGGTGGACATGAGTTCACCGGCCCCAAAATGGCTTTGGGAGGAGAGAAGGGAGGACGGCGGGGTGGATTAGGAGTCTGGTATGAGACTAAAGGAGAGACCGTCATCAAAGGGGAGGAAACTGACTTCATTGCAACATCGCCTATCGAAGCTGGTCCTGTACCACCATCAAAGTCCTCGCTCCTTACCCATGTCTCCAAGCTGGTATACTCTGTCCCAACAGACACTCTCAACGACATCACCGAGGCCAAGAAAGCCCTACCAATTAGACACAGTCTCATCAAAGCCCACTCTCGGATACGCATGCTGAGTTCGCACCGCGACGCCCACATTTACATATTCCCCGCGTGGGTAATGGATATGATCAACAGCAACGAGCATATGGACAGTATCAGCGAGGATGTCATCGGATGGTGGGCCAAAGCTGGCTGGCAAGAGGGTCTGGCGGAGAAGATTGGACTGAGCAAGATTTTCTCTAGTCCTCCTCCAACAGCAAGTGAGGAGAACATGATGCAGGACAACAAAGAGCATGACAATATCGGCTTTGCTAGCCTCAGCACAACCCATACTTCCCGTCTCCAGGTCGGAGAATCCAACGATAGCAAAGAGAAAGTCATCGTTCCTCCCATCCTAGCATACATCCACCCTAAGAATACCAAGATCATACGCCGGGTCGATACCGCTCCTCTCCTGCTCTCCGTATCCCTCCAACTCGCTAAACTTGAACCGATCGAAGCTGTAGGCCGCGATGCATCCTCGCCGTTTGCGCACGAAGCCAAAGTAGCCTACCCACAAGGCGTAGCTTCGAAGACGACTGTTACCAGACAAGACTGCCTACTCGCAGAAAATGTGACAGTGGAAGACAAGTGCTCGATCAAGGAATGCGTTATCGGTGCCAACTGCCAGATCAAGCAAGGCGCAAAGCTCATTAGATGTCTGCTGATGGATGGCGTCGTGGTTGGAAAAAACTGCAAGCTTACGGGGTGTATCGTGGGAAAAAGGGCAGAGATCGGTGAAGATAGCATTTTAACGGACTGCGAAGTGCAGGAGAATTTGTTGGTGGACCCCGAGAGTAAGTTTACGATCCCTTCCCGAGCCGTGTACCCTCGTTTCCTGGTGTTGCGGCTTGATTGAGGGACCTTGGCTGATGCATGTGCACCTCCTAGCGGAAGACAAGAATAACAAGCTCATGTCGTCCGACGGCATGGAAGCCACGGAACAAGAGATCCAGGAATCCATCAAGGAGGCCAAGATCAAGGAGGCCAAGGATAAGGACGAAGCGACGCTGGAAGACGCTGGTCTGGAACTCGATAACACAATGTAAGCCCACCTGAGATCAGAAATATCGCCAAAAACCAACCTTCGGCATGGGGTGCATGGAAGACGCTGGTCTGGAACTCGATAACACAATATAAGCCCACCTGAGATCAGAAATATCGCCAAAAATCAACCCTTCGGCAAGGGGTGCATGGAAGGGGAATCACACGCACTCAAAATTCTTGCCTGATCGGTATCATCTCGGCCCATCGCAATCGGTTCATGTTATCGATCAACTCGGTTCGAATCCACAATGGCAGTCCCAGGTGCCAGATCTGCTTCCGAGGCCAAAAGAATCGTGATGACCAACAATTTCAATACTGTCTGGGTCCATCAGCCTATATCTTGGAGGGTGGAGAAATCTTCTCCTATATCCGTAGCGCATGCTACTGGCCAGTCTCAAGCGCACGAGATTGTCGTCGCAGTGGAAGTGGGATGCAGGCAGCGCTTTGCGTACTATAGAATCGAAGAGCTTATTCATTTGTCGCTGCACACCCTGCTCCAAGGCAGCTACCACTCCTGCCCTACCATACCCAGTCTTCTCTGCTTTGCTCTGTTTCCTTCGTGCACGGCAAGCATCTTTTCATCGTGTATGCAGCTTCATCCCCTATCGTACCACAAAATCCTGTGATCCCCCCCTCCGCTCTCACCACCGACTCACGTAGCTCCCTCCCTTCTCCGGACCACACAAAAATTGGCTCCGACGGTACAGGCGCGCTGGTAATCACCAGTCCGTCAGTTTTCCATATCGAGGCGCGCTCCGTGGCAGCTGCTGTGTGAAATGAAAGGGTTCCCAGTCCACCCTGGCCTGGCGATGCCGCGATGGGTAATCTTGAATTTCCCAACACCGATTTTTCTCCAACACCGATGTTCCAGCTTTGATGCAAGACCCAGAATAGCCATACGGTATATTGTATTTATTCCCTTTTCTATCTATCTTTCGATCTATTCATCTACGGGTAATAGCGCGCTCGGTATGCATGGGAGATCGAATGTCACCTACTGTAACCACCTTCCTATTGTTTACATCTGGGGAGATTGGTTCGAGGAATTGTTTGTTTGTTTGTTTGTTTGTTTGTTTGTTTGTTTGTTTGTTTGTTTGTTTGTTTGTTTGTTTGTGTCTGCCAATCTGTTATCCGTTACATGAACGAGCGAACGATCAGTCCACTCCTCTCTCTCTCTCCTCTCTCTTATCATGCGAACGCCCTCCTCCGCACGGGAAAAGGAGCGCTTCCAGGTTTTCTTCCATGAAAGCAGTATTCTTCGCGAATTTGTTTATATCTTTTATATCTTTTCTTTTCTTTTTTCTTTTCGTTTGGGGGGGGGGGAGCTCCAGTCTTGGCGATGTTTGGAGTACAGTGAGTTGAGTGAGTGAGTTGAGTGAGTGGCCCGGGCTCTCTCCATATGCAATGCATGGTATGCATATGCATACGCAGGGTCTCTGGCAGGCTCGGAGGGGACTCGGGAGGAGAGCTGAGGTTGTAGTGTGGGGGGGAGTGGTGTGGAGTCGAGCCATTTCAAGAGTCAGGTAGAGAGAGTACCTACCTACCTGGCACTCTCTTGACGGGCTTTTGG